GAGAAAATGCTTTACTACTGACTGATTAAGATTGGAAATGTTACAGTTGTTTCAACCGATTTCAAAAAAGGAAGGAAGTTATCAATCGGCTGCATATTTTTTGAGTTATATCCATTTTAAGACATAATAAAATATGGTATAGGCGCTTTTGTTTGATCTAAAATGTTTAACGAAGATAGTTTTATCCCAATAATGATAATTACTAAGCCATAGCAACACGTGGTTAGTTTACCTAAAATTTTGGAAATTATTGGACGCGTATTTTCACTCAACTTCAAAAGAGATTTCTAGGATTTGTTATCCTCATTTTTATTTATTAAGTATTATTTTCGATAATCTAGATATAAAAAAGCGAAAGGTCGCTCACTCACTCACTCATCAAGAAGTCACAGAAACTACAAGTACAAGATAGGAATTTCAAATTTTGCATGTGGGTTCTTTTTAGGACGTAGGTGCTCACTAAGAAATTAACCAGTAATGGTTATATGAAATTAACCAGTAAGGAGGTAAATTAGGTGATGAAAATTTCTATGAAACTTCGTTACTGCAAATGCTAGGAGTTTCAAATTTTGCATGTGGGTTTTTGTAGGACTTTTTAGGTAAGACGGGATTTTATGAAATTCAAATTAGAAATAAGGGGATTTATGGAAGAGGATTATGGAATAAGTTTTATGGAATTTTCTAATTTCTAGACTTAAAACTATATTTCGCGAGCTAAGTCGCTGACGGAAGGCTAGTAAGTTATATTTTCAAAGTGAATGGTTGGCGTCAGTGTTGCTTTGCCTGTACACCAGCAGTAGGGGCATTAAAACCTCTTAATTTAATATTTTTTGAACATATTTAGTGAACTTTAACGTTAAAAAAGAGATTGTGTTAAGGTCATTACGGTTTTTCTGGCTGCCACATCTATAGACAGCAAGCAGGACCCGATCGAAGGGGTGACCTGTTGGGCAGTTAATGCCCTTTTTCTACCTGCTTACCTAACCTATTGGGACGTGCATGTGTGGAACTCTCCACTCGCACGGACCTGCCAAAGGGGTAGTCAAAACAAGAATGGCATCAAACCTCATCTGATGCACCCTCATTTTGGAGACTGGGATGCAGCAAGAATGACTCCCCGGGCAATTATTGCCCTGCTCGTGTAGCATGACAAACTCCAACCAATTTTTTGGACATTTAGATGTAAACCAAATATCCAAAAATTTGTTCTCAAGTTCATCGGAACCAAAAATGGAAGCCGCCATTTTCTTCCAAGAAAAACAATCACATAAACGATATCATCTAAAAGACCTAATAAATGAAGTTTTGTTTTCCTTATCCACTCACTGAAATGCATTCATATTATAAAATTCCAACAATATTACATATTTAAATACCACCTTCATAATAGCGAGCTCATGGCTAAAACGATTGACGTTAATATAAAATCAACATTATTTTTGCCCTTAACAGCTGCTACTAAATCCGGCCCTGGTATGCGCATGTGAACGGACGAGTAGAGCACGCGTTTGCGTAAAAGTTACACCACTACTACTAACTATAAGTTAAAACATCCGTCTGCGCAAGAGTGACACGCGACCTATGACCCTTAGTGATGTGGAGACATGGTATCATTTCTATTTACATAAATATTTTTTATTAAAATGTGGAAAGAATGACAGAGATCTTTTGGTTTCTTAATGAATTAAAAAAAACTTAGCTACATACCTATGTGGCAGGGCTACACTAAATAGAAAAATCTTTCAAGATTGATCTATTTCTAGCAGCATGGTATCTTCTTTTTAGGATTTCGTACCAAAAGGGTAAAACGGTAACGCTAGAACTAAGACTTCGCCTTCTGTCTATCTGTCTGCCTGTCACCAGGCTGTATCTCATGAAACGTGAAAGTTAGACAGTTGAAATTTTCAACGATGATGTATTCCTGTTGCCGCTTCAACAACAAATACTAAAAACCACAATAAAATAAATATTTAAGGGTGATATTTTTGCTCATTTCAGGTACGGAACCTTTCGTGCGCGAATCCGACTCGCAATTTGCCGGTTTTTTCCACCACCCTATCACTTTCTGACTTTAAGAATTTCTGACTTTAAGAACACTGACTAGAACAAGAAATATAGCTAATGAGCTAGATCAATGATCCCTAACCAGCTGTGTGATTCCGTAAAACACATTTCGAACATCGGACAGCCGAATCCACGGTGAGATTCAAATTACGTATTATTTCTATCAAAATCTCCACTGGCGCCTCACTGTTGGATGCGGAGTGAACATATGTAACTTAGTTAATTATGTGAGATTATGACGTTACCTATCGAACCTCTACCGAATTTTTTTCTTTATTTCATCTGAATATAACCTTGGATGGCGTCATTATTATTAGGGCCACAAAAAACATAAATATTTCTTTTATTTAATGTTTTCATGATTAAATAATGAATAATGTAGATTAAACTATTTCATCGGAATATACTAATGCTATTTTTTTTTCGGTTTTTGTATTAAAACACAAATTAAGAATAATTGATTCATAAATACCTCAGACATCCCATCCCTATGTCATTCCGAAACATAATATTAGTATAGAAAAATGCCTACGTAATTGATCCATCAATTTGAAGTGGTTATGTTTTTTTTATTATTTCTATAGTTATGCAAACGTAGTAAAGTAATTAATAAACACCATAGATATAATAAAATATCGAAACATCACTAGACGAGTTGCGTATGGGTATGTATGGGCATATTGAACACTATTCCACTGGTGGTAGTGCAATGCGACCCATAATCTCTACTTTTCCAGATGAAGATACTAACTACTACTACGTCACAAGAATTTTAAATATACCATAAACCTATAAACTTCTTGGTCTGTGGATATTCCACTGAACACAAAAAAGAGGTCTGTGATAATATACAAGCACGTTAGAATGAATATACTCTCTGAATGTTTTTTGGTCAATGCTGGCCTTAGAGTATATATAAGCAAGCTATATAAATTCTATATATCTATATAGATGATTCTTGCGTCAATCGATTCGTCTTAACCTTGCGAGTGTCACTAAAGGCATGACAGTACTCAAAATTCACCACAGCGACAACCAGACGCCATATTGTCTAAATGAAAAAAATAAAAATCGATGAACTATGTCAAGTGGGGTGTCGTTGAATGGGTATTTTAAAATATTCTTTAGGTTCCTTTTATCATTTTTCATTTTAAATAATAGTTTCTCGCTAATTTTCTTACTTATTGATTAAAGTTTTTATTTAAAGTATAAACGATATACAAACAAAAAAAAACAGTGAAAAAGCATGAAAAACAAATATTTTTGGTAAACAAATAAAGCATATTTAGCTTTGAGCCGAGTTAGGTCTCTAGAGGGACTTATCATCAGTAGTTTAGACCACCGCAAGTTACTTAATAATCCCCACGATATTAACTCCCTCAATGAAATAACTTGATTGCGAAATTTACCATCTTATAACGAAGTCAACGAATCGTAACTAAAAAGTATAAAATAAAAATAAATAATTTAAAGAAAAACAAAAATTCCGACTGCGTAAAAACGAATTACAAAAATGAATACATGAAAGAATTAACTTAAATAAAAACTGGGGCCCATTCAAATTTTACCAATCAAATCTTTCCAAGGAGCCGCGACTATGAGTCGTTTTATTCTGTATTACTTAACAAAATTCTAAACTACTGGGCTTGTTTCTTTCTTTTTAGTTTTTATTTAATTCTTTCATGTATTAATTTTTTTAATTCGTTTTTACGCAGTCGGGATTTTTGTTTTTTGCTAAGTGATAAAAAAACCTGGTTGTGAAAAGCGTCGGAAAAGCATTTACGGATCTAAATATTGTATTTTAAGTCGAAATAAAAGTATCATCACATCACCAGCCCTTTTACGTCCCCACTGCAGGGGCTCAGGCCTTCCTTATGGATGGTTAAGGAGGATGGGCCATGACCCTCCACGCTGGCCCAATGCGGATTGGAGGGTATTAACGACTGCAAATGCAGCCGGGACCAACGGCTTAACGTGCCTTCCGAAGCACGGAGTAGCTCGAGATAATAATTTTTTGGTCACCCATCCCGTGACCGACCCTTGCGAAAGTTGCTTAACGACTACGATCGCGGGCCGCAGCGCTTATCCACTACGCCACCGAGCTACTAATAAAAGTATCACATGTTAAAATTTCTTTAGTTTTTTTTTATTGAACGAAATCAATGATCTCACTCTCGAAATCTTACTCGTACACGGATAAATGACTGTTCAAAAACGGCATACAAATTATGCATATTATAATCTATTCCTTGAACAGACGAAAGAACAAATGACGATACAGATATTAAGTGGACGCGAAAGAAATGTATTGTTTCCGTGTTGTATGGGGCGGGCTATATGTCACTACCCTTAGGGTTGCCAATCATACTATAATTTATAGTATCATACTATATTTTGGCGTGTGACTGTAGAAGAAATATACCTATAGTAACCATTCGAAACTGAAATCGTATTCCTAAAATTATTTATAAAATTATTTATTATATTACAGTCAAATAACTATTCGGCGACTATTGACTTCTGTTTTACATATATTTAATTAATAACATCAAGAGTTGTATTTTGTTATAAAAAAAAAAGGAATTAACTAGTCGTCGAGCGTAGCGTTATGATAGCTTAGAGGTTCATTGAAATAAAGGTCATAAAAGTCTTTATTTCATTGAAGCTCTATGTTGTGACTGCATAGAGCTTAGTGTGATATTACAAATTTGAGAGAGTTTTTACAAAATAGCTGTAAAATTTAATCATTCTTTTGTAAATTAAATTTTTGTTTTAGTTTTAAAGATAATCCTTTGACATTAAAACAAAAATTCTTTATGAAAATGTTTAAAAATCCAATTTGTCCCTGGTACTCTAAATTCGTCAGTCCTTCCATCCCAAATCCCATCTCAGGGTAAAGTGGATTTTGAAAGCATTTTTCATTAAGAATATTTTCCAGTATAGCATTGTAAATGCAAAAATGATCATATATAATAAAAGTTCTCTGTTAAATAAATGTTTTTTTTTTTTTTCAGAAACACGGACCCGCCTAATCGAGGTTGTGTAGAACAGAGTCCATTATACGTTCAGAAACAATTTCTGGTAATTAAACTTTTTTAAAGTTCCTCAATATTCTCGTACGAGCAAAATCAGGGTTTCCCAAAACTGTCGATATCGACCCCTCTGGGTCTTAATGAATCACTCAAGGGGCAATATAAACGTAAACTGATATTTCGGGGTACATAAGGACTTCAGAAGTTCGACAGTGCTTGAATCTGCTATGTAGAAGTTAAGCTATTTTCTAAAGGCCGACCATCGGATGAGTGACCAATAATTTATTATTTGATCTTTTGAATATATTGACGTCATTCCACGCCAATCAGAATACTTTTGAAACTGACCCCTACATTATATGCGTTCCTGCGTATCCTGCCTGACATGGAAAATATAATGAGGGTAGCGGAGGGTAGCGTGTTCACTAAAGATGAGTATCTGCGTCATCCAGTAAAGAAACTTTTGTTATTGATGATGAAGAAAAAACATACAAAAAAAAAATTCAAAAAATTGCCATTGTTATAGTTTACAATGCTTAGAACACAAATTTATTTTTTATAAAACGTAAATTTTTGTAGTTACTTAAAAATATTTTTAAAGGCAAAGTCCTATAGTGAAGAGGAGCCTGAAACAAACATTGTAACACAATCAAACATTTTCATATAAATATGTTAAGTGGAACGTTGATCTTTATACAATGGAGGTACGCGTTTGTGGCTGCAACGCAGTTTTCAAGCTAAAGCGTCAGCTTTCGTACACAATATTAGGTACATGTAAAGTTCCAATAAAAAAATATTATTATTTGTACATTTTCCATGTTAAGGGCCTCGTGGACCCCAAGGACGAGTGGGAGGTGGACAGAAATAGGGTGCACCTAGGTGCCCTAATCGGCAGTGGTGCATTCGGCAGGGTACACGCTGCTCATTTGGACATGCCAGGCGGAGAGACCATCACCGTCGCAGCAAAAATGCTAACCGGTAAAGTAAACAACTCTACTCTTTTTTGACGACGGTATTAACCAAAGAGCAAATCCGATATTTTACTACTCAAAAAGGTTAGTTTTTAAATAAGTGAAACTTAAAAAATCAAGTATTTAAAAATTTTTAATACGTAGGTAATTGTGACATCGAAAACAATCTTTAATATATTAGATAATAAATTGACGAAAATGAAAGTGGAAGTTTGTATAGGGAACTAAAACGTGACCATAGTAACCATTATTTACTTTTCAATTTATCATTGTAATAATATGCGTGTTATGATATGAATCGATATCCAAATAAACAGTTCCTAAGGGACTACACAGGCGAAGCTAGCAGAAAGCTAGTACAAAATACATATATAAAACATAAATTTTACATATGCAATCAAAAATGTATTTTTCTATCTATCTATAGCTTTACGGCGTATCTCTGGCGGCGTTAGCAGAGAGGACCAAACGCTTCAATGTACGGTCCTTGTATACATCTTTCGCCTCGTCCACTAGAAATGTCGTAGCTCGGTGGCGTAGTGGATAAGCACCGCGGCCCGCGATTGTAGTCGTTAAGCAACTTTCGTAAGGGTCGGTCATGGGATGGGTGACCAAAAAATTATTATCTCGAGCTATTCGTTAATACTCTCCCATCCGCATTGGGCCAGCGTGGAGGGTCATGGCCCATCCTCCTTAACCATCCATAAGGAAGGCCTGAGCCCCTGCAGTGGGGACATAAAAGGGCTGATGATGATGATTATTTGGAACACTTTGTAATACTATAAATATGTTATTAGCTTTTTTAATGAATAAATGTAATTAATGCAAAAGAATTAACTTTAAAATCGGGCCATCTGCGAGTCAACTTGTACGCGAAAGGTTCCGCAACGAAAAGAACAAAAAAATTACGTTTCTTGTATGGGAGCTCCCTTAAATATTTATTTTATTCTGTTTTTTAGTATTTGTTGTTATAGCGGAAACATAACTACATCATCTGTGACAATCTCAACTGTCTGATTATCACGGTTCAGGTGATACAGCCTGATAACATAAAAAAGTCGCGTTAGTTGTATGGGAGACCTCTTAATTATTAATTTTATTTGAGTTGAAGCGGCTACAGAAATACATTATCTGTGAATAATTAAACTATCTTATTTTCACGGTTTATGAGATACAGCCTGGTGACAAAAACAGACAGTGAAGTCTTGATAGGGTTGTCATTTTACCGTTTAAGTACGGAACCCTAAAAATCAAAAATGCTGCCGAAACTCACTATTCCACACGAACGAACTCGCGAGCACAGCTAATTTACTATATATGGTATATGGTAGGTAGGTATGCAAACTATTTGCTAATCTCTTATTCTATTTCAGCAAAAAAAAATCGAACGGAATGGCCGTATTATCTGATAGTATCTCATGAAAATATGTCTTAATGATTTGTAATCTGCATTGTTAAATGTAACAGATCTCATCACAAGACTAGGTAACCTAGATAGTTTTTTTATAGTAGATAGAGAAACTATAGGGCTGTCACTTATATTATTCTGTTTTAGATTATTTATAATTTTAATTTGGGTTTAGTTTTGATGCTATTATGTTGGCATTTGTTATTTCAAATATAAGTATACTCATATACAGGATGTATACGAACATTTGCTCTAAGGAAACATGTCGATGATAGAGTTTACTGAAAACAAAAACGAACCCAAACGTTATGAAAAATAAAACTTACATTATTGCTACTTAGATACCACTCGTGTTGTAGGTCTTTAACAGTTAATGTTACTCTGATACTTATGAACACATTTATTAAATTTAGTCAAACTTAATACAAATCGGGTAAATTACAGGAACCAAAACTATTCATTAAATATGTAAATAATAAAACAACAACAAGCATAATATAAGAATATTAATTGATATAATTAATAAAACCTTTTTATAGTTATGAGGAGAGAGTTAAAAAGTCGCCTTTCAGATTAATTTGTCAAAATGTGTCTGCAGACCTAGCGAGGTGTCCTGACAGTTCTTCTCGTTCGTGTCATTCTTTACAGAGCGGTCGTGACCATCATGAGGCAGCTTCATCATTGATGGCCGTTTTAATCCTTCTCAGGATTTCTCGCCATCTTGATTTGTTGGTCGACATTCTGGTGCACTTGTGTAGAGTGCCTCCAACTGCTAATTTTATTTGGTCAATCCATCGCATGAATAATCTGCCACGTAGTCCAGTTCCCTCGAGACTTCTCTGAACCACAAAGCGCTCTATCGAGTCTTGACGGCTATTTTGATATGCCTATATAATACATATAAATGTATAATAAATATTATATAATATTACATACTTTGCTCAGATTCCAATTTAAGAGACAGTCCTTTTATTATGGAACTCTGAAACAACATCCAGATCTGATACCAATTTACACAGAAGTCTTCTCAGTAGGGTAATTGTTTTAGTCTCTTATTACTAGATTTTTCGCCATTGATTTGTGAGGAAGACATTGCGATAATAATATTGGACTTAAGGCAAAGTGGCAAAATGAAAGTAATTAAGGTTATATTGAGAATTAAAAATTAGCAGAATTGCTCTACAGAACATGGGACGCTTACACTTTCTGTAATCTTTAAATCATAGATTTGGTTAGAATTAGGTACTTAAAGATTTAAGTTCAATAAAATTTATGAATTTACATCGATTTCTAATAGTATTTAATTTTTAATAAAAGGTTAACCCAGTACTAACAAAAAGTATGAATATAAAGAGGAACCTAATTTGAGATCTCCGTCTCAGAAATCGAACCCAGACCTCAAAGATGGCGACATCGATTACTTCGCTTACGAATACACCTATTTTCACTCACCTACAACAAGGCATACTTAACTAGGAAACAACTAAATGTTACGAATAGCTTAAGCTTAAGATTAATTTAATTTCAAATAAATATTTTTTTCCTTTATCCCTTGACATGTTTATGACCTGTCATATACGCATAATGTCTAGCGTAAGGCGTCGCATAACGAATATCAGAACTTTAAGCATTGCATAATTTCGTTAGGCGGTTCCTAGTCAATGGTGAAATGCGTTTTTACCTTAGGCCATCCCTAAATATTTAGGCCACAGATTTGGGCTACTCCTAAATTTTAAAAGGGGCAAAAGACATGTTGAATATATCCATTAGTAACTATGCCCTAAAAATAAATAAATAAAAAGAATTACTATCCCATTACTTTTATGTGCCTAATTATTTTAACGACTGTATTCAATACTCTTGATATTATATTTCTTTTATCTACATAAATATCTAAATGAAATTATATTTTTATATACAGATATATGTTTCGTTAAACATCAAAGGAAATATCTGTTTCATTGAACTTTATTTCATAGACGAATATTGGGAGGTTTCCGATTGTAAATTAATTTGTAAAGTAACTATAATATCAACCTAAGGTAGTAGTAGACCAAAATGATCTAAGTATTTTCTTAAACTTCAATAATTTATGTTGGAATCTGCAAAGCGGCCGCTTATCTGTCTCGCTATAAGTCTAGACATGGCCATAAAAGCAATAATTATAAAATAATATTAACATATTCATTAATAAAAGCAATAATGTATTGATATTTGCGGCTGAAGTTATATCAAGTGAGTTAGGAGGTCGCTCTCCTGGCGTCACTGTTTGGTCCCATGTCTATTGAGATAAATTATTTTGTTTTATTCCTTAATAGATGGCGCTAATATTGTTATTTGATAAATTTGTTTTTTTTTATGTTTTTCCGCGACTTTTCCGTCGTAAATTATAGCCTTGGCCATCGCGTTTGACATAGCTTCCCGTAGGTGAATTTGAATTTAGAAAATCAGTCCAGTATATTCAAACAAACAACCAGATATTCCCTCTTTATAATATTAGTATGTATCGATAAATGCTAATGTCTATATGTTATGTATTTAGTTCATTTTATGTATAGATTGAAAATTAATGAAACTGTGTCGTTCCATAACGACTCTACATTTCATTAGATAATTATCTAAATTCCAAATTAATTGATTACGTAGTAGTCAGATGCATGAACTGTGTCTCTAACTAGTTTGTATCGATATTTTTTATTCAAACGCCTTGAAGAAACTTTTTCGAATCGTTGTTAGCTACTTGGATTAAAGTAATAATTAGAGGCGTCTCGTAAAACCTTAATAAATTACATTTTAAGTCTATAATTTTGTTCTAAACATAAATAATCCAGAATCAGTTTTACGTTGGCATACTCGTATCTAACACAAAACAAGGTAATTGTAATGGTTATATATCACCGATACAAAAAAAAGTGCATATCCCAATCGCGATACGACGTAGAAAAATAGTTTTTACAGTAATGAAAAATAATTAATTAAAAAAATTAAAAAACTCGTCTGTCAAAATCAAACTTAAATATTTTGAACTCACTTTATAATCGACAAGCAGCCCTGCGATTCTGTTAAAAGTGTCCGTATGCACTTCAAAATGCGGCATCCGCTCAATCTTGGTAATAATGTTTCGTGGCATAAGTGAAGTGAGTTTCGAAATGACATAGGAATGTAATATCTGAGACATGTGTAATCAATCAATTTTGTTTTGTATGTTCATACAAAAAAATGGAATCAATAGAATTTCTTCACAAAATAACCTAAATTGAGACACATGAGTGGATACGAATTTGGGTTCGGATTTTCACAAAATCGCCCTACAGGATCTTTAATATTGCATAGATATATATACTATAGATATATATACTATAGATATATATATATATATATATATATATATAATGTACATACGTTCACAGATTCTTCCGATTTTTTAAATTTTATTCGAAAGCTTATAAGCCTGAGGCAGTTACTTACACATTTTATTGAAATTTATTTTTATAACAAAAGAAATTCGGAAGCGTTCTGGAAAATAACAAAAATAAATTAGACAACATATTTGTAACGATCGTCGATGAAAACAAAAGGTTGCGTGTTTTGCTTTCCTTTGATTAATGTTAATATCAAATGACTAAACACACGGTTTCTGAATTGAGAATTTGAAGTTGAGCACGTCTCAAACCGTGCTTAAGCCATTTTGAACGTCAATTAAACAGGTTTTCATTACTGATTTAAATTTTTTTAATGATCAGTTGATAGCAATTTGATTAAACTAGGACTTTTTGTCATATGAAACGTAAAAAAAACTTAAGCTAATGAGAATAATCAGTTGAGCTTTTGTACTTTTCTCAACTCATAAACCGGAAAAAACATCCAATCCGATCTTGAGCCGCCCTCTTTGCTGTCATAAAGAAAACAAATATTAGTTAATACTCGAATTCCCCAATGAGTAGCGAATCGTGAAAGTAATTTGGTAGTTTATGGTTGTCAACTTTTATTATAAGAAATAGAGTAGGTATATCTGATTTCAATGGAGGTAAATAAAGAGTATAGACCTAATATAATAAAGAGTATAACCTATAGACTTAAAACTATCATTTGTCATCATCAGCAACCCATTTACATCAGCCTTCCTTATGGACGGTTAAGGAGAATGGGCCATGACCCTCCACGCTGGCTCAATGCGGATTGGAAGGTATTAACAACTGCAGTCGGGACCAACGGCTTAAAGTAAAAGGGCTGATGATGATAACACGTTTTCCATTAAAACATTTTTTTACAGAAAATGCGTCTGAAGAGGAAATGCAAGACTTCTTAGGGGAGATTGTCATGTTAAAACATGTTGGCTCTCATAAACATGTCATCCGATTAATAGCGTGTTGCACAAAACAGGCACCTCTAATAGCACTATTAGAACATGCTCCCAGAGGTGATTTGCTGACTCTTTTACGTGCAGCGAGAGGGAAACGGAGAGTCGAGCAGGTGTCGTGGGAGACGAAGAAACTGAATAGTGACGTCAACGGTCGCCCTTCGGAAGCGGACAGTAAGTGTCAACCAAGCAGATTGTATAAAGTCGTGAGTTCGGGTCCCACCTCGGGTTAACTGGGGCTCTAGATTTTCCATTAATAATATTTTTCAGTACAGCATTGTGAAAGCAAAATTGATCGAATAATAAGTAGAATCTTTTTGGTTTCAATCCACATCTGTATCATGTTTGATATATCTATCCACTTCCACTTGTGGCACATCTGTTTAATAATCTTTGTCGTCCACTCTGTGGCGACGTAATCTGTGACATTCGTAATATAAACAATAATGCATTTGCGAGTTGTCATTCAACATTAAAACAGTCTGAAAGTAAACTCATACCTGTGGACATGTTTATTCATTTACCGACCCTTCGTATAGAGGCAGATGGTTAATTTACCAAAAAATACTTACACCGACAACGAAAAAATAAAAAAAATCCACAGCTAAACAACTCTAATGAATACAACATCGAACGTGGCGCTAGTTTAGAAATTCTCAAAGTGCTTCTGACGTGCCTAGTGCCTACACTGAAGACGATTTTGGTTATTTGTAGAATCTTTAGAGTAAAAATTTTAGTAGGTATAAAAAATAAAATAATAATTTATAAGTGATTCGTATTACACCCCAAAATGTTTGTTTGATACTCCAACTACTCGCGTGTAGGTAGTCTGTGAGTGTTTACCGATTTTAGATTGTAATTCATGTCTATTTTGATGGATCGTTGGTTGGTAAAATAAAGTTCCAGTTTACCTGAAATTCGAATAAGTAAACAAGATTATGTAGATATATGTACATAATGGTATTTTGATCAGATTTCTGTAAGGGCAATGACACGAGATGAATGTAAACAAACTGATCCTTGTCAAAATATAGGTACTGGTCCTTACTGGATTATGTTCTGTATGACAGATAGGTAGACTGCTATCCTTTTCTGTCAGTCTGCATTTTATTTCTATAGTTTCATGTCTATATCAACATTGAAGATATGAATTGATAATTTATACCGCGCAATGTGTTGTATAATCAACTAGCTGCTATTATAATTTTTCAGGCGCTTACAATTTTCTTTCAGCTTCAACATTAAACAAAGCCGCTTTCCGTCTGTCTGTCCATATGTATGCTTATTTCTTTAAAATACACAACGGATTTTAATGCCGTTTTGTAGTTTGAGTAGATAGGGTGATTCGACAGGAAGGTTTTAATATACAATGCAGGACCACGCAGGGGAATCCGCTGGCAGAAAGCTAGTAATATAATAAATAATTACTCATTTTAATTTAGATATTTTTAATGTTGTTTTAAAGTGTTCATATTATAATGATATAAAAATTAATCGAATAGTACCTAAATAGGACCCGACTGCCTCTCATTATTTTTGGATTTCAGATTAATATTGGGCCCTTATTTATCCAAATTAAAAAGTAATTCAAACTTTTAAAGAGACAAATTAATAATTAATTCATTATCTCGTACATCTTAAAACCCACATGCTGTGTACCAAAGTGGTCACTCATATACATTTATATGACTCTACGTAACATAAATCATTTGAGTACTATCGCAAACAGAATATTCATATTTATAAAAATATATAATTTTCAGCTGTATACACCAACTTGAGCGACTCCGACCCGGCTTTATCAAACGACGAGAAACTTTTCGGAGAAAGAGAACGTTCGAAGAGCAGCGACCACTACGTCGCTGAGCCAGCGCTACAGCTGAATAGCAGCACTATGCGAGAATACGCGCTGCAAATAGCCTTGGGGATGCAACATTTGGAAGCACGGGGTATCACTCACAGGTTAGTCTGATCGTCTGACCTGGGATCGGATGGGATTTATAAAAAATCATGTGTCCATAAAAAAGAAAGTCATTTGAACTAGAATATAGGATGTTTTATCAGTGGATATGGTTATTATGCTCCATACCCACTGATAAAACATATCCTATAATACTAGTTCAAATGACTTTCTGTTTTTGTGGAAACATGACATTTTGTATCCCGTACAATACATTGATTATCCGCAATTTATTTTGAATTTAATACTCTCCATGAGGTTTAAAGTCAAATGGCGAAATTTGTCAGTTTTGTACTCGTATAAACTGACGTGCTGTCAGAAAACGAAATTAAAGTAATAAGTATGTCGATTAGTTTTAATTTTTAAATATCTTTGTTTTCTACATAAATTCTATTTGTATTATCTTTTATAATAAAATCAGACAGGAGCGCTCCCCAACTAGCAAAAATATAGTAGTAGCGGGAACGAAAATTATTCAGCATTTTGGCTCCTAATAGAAGTCGTATAAACGTAATGAAAACGTTTATACAACGCGATTTGGGCCCATTTTATTCAGCAATTCAGTCACATAGACATCGTATAAAGGTAACTTATTCAGGTAAATCGTCACGTAATTATCGCCGGAGTGACTGTTACAAGCTTATGTTGCGCTATAACTGTAACTTTTATGACATGTTTGTCTTATTGAAGCGACCTGGGATACAAAACAGCTGAAAACTTTTATAGTAAATAAAATAAGCAAGTGCTTCGACGTGTTGTGTTTTAAAAATTATAATTCATCGGTAAGTACAATTTATTTAGCAGACATGTTAATTTGTAGGTTGCACCAAATGTAGGTTCGTAAACTCACGCATAGGGTTGTAAAGTATTGCGAAGGTAAGTTTTCTGAGGAAATATACTAGTTTATATTATAAATATTTAACGCCCCCCTTTAATTCTTAGTAATATGAATATAATAACAAATATTTTTATATCAATATTATTTTTGTACACCATTTTTACTGCTGACAGGCGATATAATAGCTTCTTATACAGCAAATTAGCAGTATGAGCGCCATGATACCACTCTGATTATAGTTTAGGGTTCCTTAGAACTTCCTAAAAAGTTTTCTAAAAAAGACTTTGTTTGTTTTTCCATTTATTCCAGTCCATTTTCGATAACTGTAAACTACTCACAGCATTTTACGCAAAACAATCTGATCGGTGTAATGGATACAATTATACGACATTTTAGGCTTGTAATAGTCGTATAAATGCGACGTATACTACATAATAGTAGTATAAAAGCAACAATGTTACTTTTACTCGACTGAGTCAACCTTGCCATAAGAAAGCTATATAATATGCTTTTACTCGACGAAATAGTAACATAAGCGTCGTATACTAGCGACTTATTCAGCAAAATATTATATGACACTTAAGTCATATAAGGATGCTGACTAAACGTTTACTCAGCATCATTATGTGACCGAAATGCTGAATAACTCAAAAGCTATATAAGATGCTTTTATACGATACGTGCTGAATAATTCACACTTACTCGACTTTTATAACACCGAAAAGCTGAATAAACTTTACCTTATATGACTAATTTGCTAGTTGGGTCAGAGCCTTTTTATTGTTTTATATATTACCCTAAAATTCAAAAATTATTATCTTTATTATTGTTTCTTTACGTGTAAAGACCACAAACGTGTTAGTTATTAGCGGAATTGTGTAAACGCAAATAGGTAATCGATTAAAAAAGAAGCAGACGATAATATAATGTCTTTATTTATTTTTATTCTCTGTATAATATGGTTGTGTGTTGCATTTAGAAATCTATGTAGAAAGATAGAATTGGAATTCAAAATTGTTTTGTTGAATGTATTTAAATCGTGTAATGGTCTCCTACGTGAAGTTGGCAGCAATGTGGTGACGCAAAGTGCCATTAAAATTAAGAAGAAGAAGAAGAATAAATTAATTATCCATCTATCTATCTAAGAGACCTGAGGTAAGATAAGGATAGCATATTGTGTGAAATAGAGCGTCAAAAATAATTTTGAAATGGGAGATCAAAGAAACTGCGTGACTGCAATCAGCGAAGCATTCCATTTCTGCGTAATCTCGTTATTCATTCGAATAGTAACAAATGGGTAATGATTTAATATGTTTTAATGCAACACGTAGGCATTTAAATTCCAAACTCTCGTAATATCGAGTCATGCATGACCATCTTCGATGTAATGAAATAGGTTCGAGGGTGTGAATTCTAATCGTGACGTAATAAATCAAGCGCCACCCTCGACCTTACACAACATAAAAACCAGAACCCGAGGAACTTCGGCGATTGTTAAGAAAACCCTCGCTTTTTCGAGGAAACATTTCTCCGCTTATGGTTGCCTCACGTGGTATAAAATAAAGTAAGAAGGTATCTATTGTGTTTATTTATATGTGTGCTAAATGTAAACTAATTGTCAAAGGCTTACAATAAATTTGTTTGATTCCTGGTTTTCATTTCCGCCATCCGACATTTCAAAATTGTCCACCGATGGCAAATTGACAAACTTTTACACTATCTGTAACTGTACATACATATCTTGAATCATCTATAGGTATAAATAAATAAAACTGGAGTGTCTGTTTGTAACATTAAATTAACCATTTTTTAAATAAGATACTAAGAATAAGAAAATTGTTTAATAAGATACATTGAATAAATCTATTAATTACAATCAATTTCATTCAAGTATCATAAATGTCAAAATAACTCGTTCTATATTTTAGTTTGTTACGTTTTCGTGTTCAAACTGCTGAACCAATTTTAATGAAATTTCGTACACGGATAGAGTGGACCTTAGAAAAGTACACAAAATAGTTTTAAAGATGAAAAATAGACTTAAATAAGGGATGAAAATACTAAGGGTGATAATAACTGAATTCCATACGAACGAAGCCGTGGGCGGAAAGCTAATATCTTATGAACTTAGGTTACTCTTTTTTAGTGTTAATACCTATTTACAATAGAATCAATTTTAAGAAAACGAAGAGACTTAAAATAGGTTCACGCGAACGAACGAGAAAAAGAGTACTTAAGTTCAAAAGTATATAGCTACCAAAATAAATATATTTATTAATGCTACAGTTTTATATTTGTAAATTAAAATCTTGTAATTTTTATATTTTAAATATCTATTCATTGTTGGAATCAACCACCAGTTGGTTGGATTTTTTAAAATTAAGTTTCAACTCATGCCTACTCCGTTAAATTAATTAAAAAATAAATCAATTCTAACGCTCTATAATCTGATGTGCCGAATTCCAATTGTGATTAACAAACATTTCTTATTAAAAGTTTCATCAGTTATTTATCTGACATCTAAAATAAAGCTTGTCATAATCCTGTTGAAATATTTAATTTAATTTGTTAGAGTAGCGTTATTGCTATCAAGAATGTGCAGGCGTTTTAATTATGAAACTGAAAGATATAAAAACTAGAAATAAAGACACTTCATCCAAGTAATATAATAATCTAAATATCTCCATAGTCCAATAATGATATCCGTTATAACATAACGGTAGACAGTTAAGTAAAATGTTGACTACCATCTAGGAATGGAAACAGTTGTTATTTAGCAACTGCTATTATTTAGTTCGCCGAAGGGTAGGTAGAGGGGTAACCACCTCACTACTTTCCCACAACCTCTTTATCTTCGTTAGACGCCGATTCCGATAACCCCCTCGCCATTTTCCATTCTCTTTGCCTAATCAATAGAGCGAGACCTGCTTTTTGAAAACCGCGTAGTTGTTAAATGAATAGGAAAGTTTGAGATTAATATCTCTTTAAATGTTTTGTGTCACAATCAATAATCGAATCTTTATTGATGTTAGTTATAATGATAGTTTTAATACAACACCCACCTTTACTTCATTAATTCACATATTTTATAGCAGCTATCTTGTAAAATTAAGTACGTACGAAAAAATGTCAACCTGCAACAAAATCTCAGGATTTTTCAATGGAAATCGGACCTTTTCTCAGAACTTCTTGATTTTTCCACCTGTTAATCAATACATTTTCGCGGCCCGCGGCGCTTATCCACTACGCCACCGAGCTACTAAATGTGAAATAATGTAAAATTATCAACAAAAAAAATCATATGTTTTTAATTTATTTAATAGAGACCTCGCGGCTCGGAACATCTTGGTAGACGGTGCTGGTGTACTGAAAGTGGCCGACTTCGGCCTGTCGCGGTCCGGGGTGTACGTCCACACGCGCTCCAGACCTGTTCCGTTAAGATGGCTGGCACCTGAGGCCATCATACAGTCACAGTACTGCAGCGCCAGTGACGTGTGGGCATTCGCTGTTTTACTGTGGGAAATCGCTACTCTAGGTACGGTCACAATCGCCTAGACATATTTTATTACACAAATGTTTGTTTTCTCTTTACATTGGAGTAGCTGCTCTTGCGACTTCACCTATCTGTAAATTATAGTCTGTTACTTACGATGTAGCTTCTCATTGGTGAAATAATCTTTAATTATTTCAAGCCAGAGCCAATTATTTTATATTGCAATTTTACCATTACTTCAAATTCATATTATACAGAGAATAAGCAAACCTACTACCTCCTAAGAGTAAATATTACTCCCGTAGAACCTCGTAGTAGTTTAACCTTTGCTAAGTCTCTGTTTAATAATATGAATTTTGACTAACACTAAGTGCAGTCTAAGCGTATATTTACTCTAACGATAAACCTTGTTTATTAATAACACTGTATAATATTAGTTACTTGAACATTGGAATTGTGAAACCAAGCCCACAGCACCTTTCAGGCTAAAACTCATATGGCTTTGAATCTATTGTTTTCCATTTTTTACTGTGAGATTCTATCACATAACATTTACGCACAATCAAAAAATCCTGTACAAATCTCATTAATTGATCTTACCTCTTTGTTTTCTTCAAATGATACCTTATTGCTTCCAGGGGGATTTCCTTACGCGGAACTTACCAATAGTCAGGTGCCAACATTCTTAAGCGGTGGCGGTCGCCTACCTAAGCCGGCGCGCGCTTCCCAACGTCTCTACGAGCTCATGGTTGAATGCTGGTCGGAACATCCAGAAGACAGACCCACATTCACACATATAGTAGAAAAACTGACCACTCAGCGGCAACTCTACGTAGACCTCGACTCGATCTTCATGGTGGAAGAACCTTTCGGCGACGAAGAAACAGGATGGAGCAAAGACTGAATATTTTACTTTTGTTACCCCCCATAGATTTTGCACAGTAAATGTTTAAGCAAAACTTATTTTTCTTTTCTTCTGTTATATACCTTATTCCCGAATTCCATGGTGTTAATTGATTTTGAATACCTATTATTTGGAGCTGATAACATTTTTTGTTTGACATAGAGATGGTATTATGGTTATACCACTTAATTTGCGATGCTGAGTCAATTTATTATATTAGCAATATCATGATGAAACTAATAGATTTGCAACGCGAGAAGTCGACGATGCCGACTAGGAGAGTGGTCAAGATACTTACTCTGTACTACATACCACGATAAAATTGATCATGTATTACCGGAGATTAAGTTTAGAAGCCCTAAAAACAGGTGAATTGGAATGATGACTAATTTTTTTCGTCTGTCCGTCGGGTAGACTATTAAAGACTTATTTTACATAAATAAATTACGGCGATACATTGAGTTGAATTGTCACATGACATCACGCTTTGTACATTCTCTACATAGCTGTGACGTAGCGAGCAAGGTTGTTTAAGTCAAAATAATACATGTCTAATATTTCTCTATTATCCGATTGACCGGCTGAATAGAATTTTTTTCTTTTCCCGGTGACATCCCTTTTTATGAAAAGAAGAGTTAAGAGAATGTCCAAAAAAAGCCAGTGTTTTTTGACATGCCGCATCGGCATGCTGAAGACAAATCTTCAGCAACAAAAATATCTTTAACAGCATAAAGTCAATGATATTGAGCACAGATAGGTCTTAACCCTTAACACCACTCGGTATTTTCAGCCTACATATCTACACTCGTGGGGGAGCTACGTCCCCACTTTTTATGGTTATTATTCAAGTAATAAAATATAGGATATTTTAGGATTTATATTTATAACATAAATAAAAAACATATATTCTATGAAAATAAACACTTTTATTTAGGTTTCATAATCATAATTAATATTTCTAGTGTGAAATAAAAAAACTACAAAAAATCTCGTCACATTCATGGGGTCTATTTCACTGACTCATTATAAATAAATAAAAAATGCTTTGGAACAAAAAAATTTATTTTCTAATAACCTATATTACTTTTTAACCAAAACAGTCATAAAATCTTGAATAAATTTTAAAACATGCAAAATCACAAGGAGAATATTCGACTTAGTTTACCAAAAAAAATTTACCTTAATCTGTTAACATATTATCAGTCTCATTAAATTACTCCCAAAAATTTGATTATAACGTACTTAAAACTTATGACTCACATTTAGTACATATTTTTACATCAACAGAGTGGTTCCGACAAACATTTTTCACACATTTCAAACACACCCTTGGAGTATTACTGTCTTTGCTTCGTGGACACAAATGACACCTAGATTTTTTAGCCCCTTGCTTTGGCTCGGGTCTTGTTTTGGTTGATCTTCAGCTACATCAACACCAACCTCTTGTAGGAACCTGTCCATCATATCTTTCAGCTCCCTCGAAAGGTTAGAAGAGCGTCTTCTTTCCAGAACATGAGGAGTTACTAAAGTATACCCAAGTTCTTCTAAAAACATAACGACTCTTGCTTTTGTGAGGATTAGATGCGCCGTAAAGGACATAACTGTTTACCCCGGAAATACTGGGCAAAATATTGTGGTCGGCCATGTTTGACTTCTCTGGTTCACAGAGTAAGCAGCACACTTCTGGTCTAAAGCATCTACGCCACCTTTGGTAGAATTGTAACAATTTCGGGTTTTTTGGTTTTGGTTTGGTCCATTGCAGATACTAGAGTTATACTGACGTCATTTAATAGCCTTTCTATCTGCTGGGCATTTAAATTCTTACTCATACTGCACCAAAAACCCAAAAATGTAGATATAAAAGATTATTATCAATATTAAATACTTACGTAACTACACTCATGGGGGACCTAGGTCCCGCAACAACACGTGCCTCACAAACTTCCAACGCTAGCACGACGTACGTTTGCACACCAACAGCTTTCGGGAGTCACTGGGAATACTCGAAACCGCGACCGCGTCGCGTTTAAAATATTTGTATAATTTGCAAAAAACAGAGCGCTGGGGGACTGCGAACCCCCACGAGTGGTGCTAAGGGTTAACATTGTCGTATTTTCACCACGCGGCATTTCCTTTAATTTTCTCCTTTCCTCTTAAATCCTTATATTTTTTAAGAAACTGTTCTTTTCTGTTGCATCTTTGTAGCACAACTCTATCATCAACACTATCTCACAGCAGCTGAGGTTTTGTTTAGGGTTATATAATTGCTGTTAGAACAATCAGTGCATACGCATGCACACTCGAACATAAAAATCGAATACATAATATAGAGGCATTGCCAGTGCTGTAATATCATAAAGTTGAATATACGAAATTTTATAGATGATGTGGAAATCGATATTAAATAATTTTATTTCATATTGCACAATATAACAACAGTTTGGAATGTTTTACTTTTTAAAATTACACAACATGGAGAAGGGAACGTTTCTTTTAAAAGGTTAAATTTTATAGTACATAATAACAGTAAGGTATTTTTGCAAGAAATGTAAAACACGTAACTATCTAATACTTATCCAGTTTCATGCAACTGCTGCTTTTTTATGTGCACATGGTATTGATTTTGATCCCTAAAGGGTTTTCCTTTACATTACACCCCTGTAGTGGGGACAAGGGTTGTCCCTATTGCATGGATTTAGGCCTTCCTTATGGATGGTGAAGGAGGAATAATGTTACCACAACACAGACCTGAGACAATATAGAAAATATCGTTTCGTTTGAAATGGACTTGGAGGCACAGGCATTCCGAATTAACTAGATGAAGAATTTATTTTATACTTTTCTTACAGCAATTTTGATCGTGGTACAGTTCAGTTTTAAAAAGGCAGACTTAACAGATGATCCTCTATTATTTATCGCCAACCCTGTCGAAGCGAATCTGCCTGGTCATTGGATACCTCAAAGCATTCTTAAAGTTATCTTGGAAAATACAAGTACAACGAGGTTAAAATTGACGTGGCAATCATCGCCGAAACGAGTATCTATATCAACTAGACCTCCACTGCCAGATATAACTACAACCACTCCAACGACAACACCGGTACCAGAAATTACTACCACAGAAGCAACACCGGTACCGGAGCCGCCAACTACAATAGAAACATCAACAGATGCACCAACAAAAGCTGCCGAAACGCCAACGACAACTGCTGAAACGCCAACAACGACTGCTGAAACGCCAACGGAGTCAACAACAGAATCGACTACAACAACAACAGAAACGACCACTACAACTACAACAACAACAACTGCGGTACCGGAGACTCCAACGACACGAAAAAGAAAGAAACCGAGTGATACTCACGATAATATACAATAGTATGTTAGTTCAGTTCAGTATGTTAGATCTCATTTCTATATACATAAGCATGTCATATACAAAACTGTAAAATATCTTCATTTGATTTTAATGACTTGTTGTGCTGCTGCGTGTACTTGAAATAGAAACATTGTTTGTCAATTAATATTTTACACGTTTTATGTTACAATAAAATAATAATAAAATTCACTGGGCCGAACCCACACATCCATTCATAAATCTTAAACCAAAAATCGGTAAATTTCATTTAATTTTAAGCAATAAGATAAAGTCTAAATTTGTTTGTTTTTGTTGTCACATTTTTGTTAATAAATCAATTTGCTGTTCTTGTTATTTTCCGGTGACATATACATATATTAGCTGCATATCCGCAGCTTGGCCCTGGTGGTCCGAGGATACTGTGTACACACCATGGAGTAGGTACACACAGACCTGCCGTACTGGAGTCTTAAACTAATCTTAAGATCTGCCAGTAAGCATCCACCTTTTCTAGCATTATAATTAACTTATCAGCGTCCTCACTGCTGGGACATTGACTGAACCAAATAAGAAAAATCTACCGGCATTTCTTTTCTTTCCATTTTAATGTGCAGTAGAATAAAAAATACAAACAATTCTTTTAAAAATAATAGTCCTTTTATATAAACTGTAATTTTGCTTAGACAAATATCTAGTGTCTACTGTGCTTATTCTGGACTTTCAGATAAAGGCTTTCATTTTATGGGTTTAAAACAGCCTGATGCTTTACTTGTGTAAAATTTTACGCCTGATCCTCATAGAAACATTACGGTCAGCTTGCTGTTGTATTCTCAAGTGTGAAGCCGAATAAGTGCGTGAAGCAAAATTAAATTTTGCCAAAGGATATTCTGCCATTTTTTCAATTTTTAAGTATCGAAAATATAGTTTCGTCCACTCAGTATTTTTTCACCCAATTTATGATTTAACTCTGATACTTTGAATTTTGATATTTTAGATAAAACTATTTCCTACCATTAGTAGCTCATTTCAATAATTTTTTGATTTTTAGTCATTCATAATTATAGGCAGTTCAGTTCATTATTCGCAAATATAATTAAACGTTAGTAAGTATTTATTAAAATATCACGTTAATATTTGTATAAAATATGTTATTTAAAAAAATCGGGCAAATGCAAGACAGACTCGTGCACGAAAGGGTCCCATACTATCCATAAAAAACCCCAAAAATCACGTTTGATATTTCCAAAGGAGTTGTTCGAAATTTTCGAGTTAAATACATTTGGTCAACCATTATTAGTCGTAAATTTGTAAAGCCAACTAAAGTGTGATAGCTTTCCTATTAAATACGTAATATATAATTACTACTGTCGTAACTTTTGAGATTTTTTCTTCTTCTTCTTTTATTAATGGCTTATCTGCGCATTTCGCACAATTCTGCCAATGTCAAGTGAATAAATTAATTTCTACATGTAAAATGAAAATCAAATGAATGAAAGATGTTAAGTTGGTCAGAAGGGACATTTGACTCTAGCGAAAATTGCCACTTTGAAGCTTAAACGATTGTACCGATTTTAATTATTCAAAATATTCTTTTATTCTGCGTAAACAGTTTAAATTATTTAATAATGGATATGGAAAAGGATGACATGGAATGTAATTAAAATGTCAATATGAATTGTAAACAATGGTTACTATGGTAACGATTGAATGCCCTACTCCTATACGAGTAAGTCATGATGTTATATAGCCTATAGCCTTCCTCGATACTCGATAAGTGGACTATTAAACATAAAAACAATAATTCAATTCGTTCCAGTTCATACTTACGGGCCAAAATCATAACCCTCTCTTTCGCTTCGCCGTAGTCGGGTAAAAATACATGTCATAATAATAATTCACAATGCAATCTTGGCTTCTAACTATTGATAACAATGAAGTGAAACCATACACAGAAACTACTCAAATGTCTTATCTTAAACAGTTTCTGCTCAAGCATAAAATTATTTTTTAAGAAAAAATTCTTAACCGTGTGCACTACAATACCTTTAACTTCAATTACACTTTGAAAAATAATCTATTGATACTAATAAATCACTGGAAATGTTATTAATAATAAAATGTAAATAATTTGAGGAAATTAAAAATTCAAGTAAGTATAGAAATTTAATTGTCTTTATAAAATACCTTATTGAAATAAATAAAAGTAAAGTAATGAAAACAAAATATCGTACGTGGTAGTTTATTTAAAACATCTAAAATAAATAAAATATTCATGCAACAGATAAATTAACTATCTTGATATGGACATGTAAGAGAAGATATTACTTACAAATGACAAAAAGGATAATGAGCATGTATCGGGGAGAGAAATGCCAAATAAAATAATATTGGCCGAAAGTTCCGCTTCCAATTGTCATAAAAGTTATGAGCTTGCTATTCTAGATAGGATTCATATCTATATACAATTCATATTGGTATGTTAGTTAGCCTACCGGGAATACCTTCTGCTTCAGAATATGTATGCCTGTATATAAAATGGATATTATATACAGCAGTCTGGGTGTTGGCTGGTGTAATGGGTGTTACATACATCGTAAAAAATGGACAAATTAATTACCTGGTTTGCATTATACTAGAATAAAGGCCATTGAAAAATTAATAAAATGCGATGCTCGAGAAACCAGCTTGAATTAAATATACTTACATCACTCCATCTGGACCCGATCTAAGGAGAAGTTAACTGAGTAATTGCCCAGAGCGACATAAATAAGGAGTGACGACACTGGCAACCGACCAACTCTATAATTTTCTAGGGGAAAAGAAAACCACTTTTATGGATTTTGTAGTAGACTAACATTTTAAATGAATACACAATTACAATAACATTATCATATATTTACAAAAGGAAGCTTATGAACTAATCATCGTCATCATCATCAGCCTATGTTTGTCCAAGCGCACGCCGTCGAGCTCGATCTTCGGCTTTTATAACTTATTTGAATCCGACTGATTGCTAATGATGTCGTCTTATTCTTGTTTTCAGTGGAAATAAAGAACCTAATTACTTTTTTGGGAATAATATTTGCTTATGGTCTGGCCGAAAATGCAATCTATGATGATCCACTCGTATTTATTGCAAATCCTGTGGAATCTAACATGCCGGGTCATTGGATGCCACTTAGCATTGTTAAAGTAATACTGGAAGGGTCAACAGCGACGCCGGAACGTGTGTTAAAATTAAAATTAGCACCTCAAAAATTGTCACCTCCAACAACTGTAACCACTACATTACCAACAACGACCACAGAACGTCCAACGACTACTGAAGATACTACAACAACAACTACGCCTACAACAACAACAACGCCACTTGAAACCACGTCCACAACTGCGATAACTACAACAACACCCACTACGACACCTACAACGACCACCACCCCAACAACTACAACCACATCAACCACTACAACTACACCCACAACGACTACTACACCCACTACGACGACTACACCCACAACGACGACTACACCTACAACGACAACTACTCCTACAACGACAACTACACCTACAACAACAACTACACCTACAACGACAACTACACCTACAACGACAACTACACCTACAACAACAACTACACCTACTACCACAACTACACCTACTACCACAACCACACCCACAACTACAACTACAACCACAACAACAACTGCAGTTAGACCTAAACGAAAAACTAGACCCCGCGATACTCACGTTAATGAGCCTTAAAGTCCTTTCGTAATCTATTTCGATAGAAAGATCAAGAACTATTTTTTTATTAATAATATTCTACGGACATCTACAACAATAATTTGTCACATAACATGAAATAAGTAACTAAATGAACAAGTTTTTGTATTTAATAAATTGGGCCTCAATCCTATTATTTCTTAATAATGGCGTATCGACGGCTTTCCAATAACGTCTATTTTCTGAAATTTCTTAACACTAGATCACAAACTAATAAACAGCCATTGGAAACTTATCATTAGAGATATAGGTCCCTGCGTCTTGCCGCGTAACCTACTGATAATAAAAAAATTAAAAAAAGTCACGCTGAAGAAAATATCTTAAAAAATTCTCATTGGAATCGGTGGACCGTTGTATGAAACATTTGTAATTTAAAAGCCCCTTAAAATTTTCATTTTTTTTATTTCAAGCTTTTTAAATCTCATTATGATCTTTATATTATAATAGCTATTGATTAAAAAAATACTTTAATAATCAGCATATTTGTTTACAAGCTAGGCTAGGATGCTGCAAATAGAAATAATTGAAAAAAGTAGCTACATCATCTTACACTCCACGTGCCTGTAGCTCCTAAACAACTTACTGTCCATTAATCTTGAGGCTCAAAGGGGCAAGGAGGTAGTTCGTCAGAAACCACGAAATATCACAAGGCTGGAGGGCGGTGTAATAATATATTACGTGTATTTACGAGTATTTACTCGTCAATGCGCGACTACTAAACCTAAATGTCGCGTCAAAAATTTAAGATTTATTTTAGGTACTAAAAATAGACGTGATTCAGGTGGAAGGGGGGAGGTAGTCTTAAGCCTCACCATGTATCACGAAGTAGGAGGGGTTAAAATGCAGAAAAAAAAACGTGATTAATCGATGGTTTATCCGATTTTCATAAAACATGAACGAACCACCGCGATGAACAAGGCTTTTGATAAATAAAACAACTTTGAAACGGTTTCATCGCGTTTGTATTTTATTTTAGAAGTTTCGGAGCCTTTACAGGTTCCGTGTTCGCATAAGACTAAGGTGTTGATTGTCTTTTTAATGAGGAAGTATTTAAAAATAAAAAATAGAGAGCACTAAAAAAGCATCTCCACTAGATAGCGACTCTAGCAAACGTTGATTTTTGCAGGAAACGAATAGACCAAAGATAGTTATTTCCATTCCTTTTAGCTAACTTAGATATCAATACAAATATGAAAAAGGACAAGTAGATTATGACTTATGAGTTGTATATTGAGTTCTGAAAATAAATTTACTTTTATATATGAAAGATTACCGGAAGGGTTATCATGGAGAAATCAATAAAGTACTGTAGCGACATCTAGTTTTATTTCCGGAACTATTTTTTAAATACTTCCTCATTAAAAGTATTACTACATTCAAAAAACATTCACGACACAGACAAATTTATAAATTATGGTAACGTTTACATTTAATAAATGAAATTAAATTATTTTAAAAATACATTTGATTTATTTATTTACCCCTAGCAATTTAAAAATATGATTAAAAAACCGCAGTCAAATCAGCTCATTAGTTCAGGAAATAGGGTGCCACAGACAGACAAACACGTAAAACTTATAATACACCCCTCATTTTCCGTCGAGGGTTAAAACAGCTTCGAAGTTGTTGTTGAACGCAGCGCAGTCATCACCGACATCAGCCTTTAAATGTCCCCAATGCTGAGGCTCAGGCTTTCCCTTTGGATGGAATCAAATCAGATGGAATAGAGGAAAATACAGCTGACACAGTATAGAGGTTCAATGAAATAAAACCATTATTATTACCTTTCGGAATAATTTTTTCAATGCAGTTGCTCATAAAGCGCTATTTTTTTAATCCATTGTAAACACCGAAAGTGAGTCTTTAAACACGTGTTAAATAAAAATGTACTGAAATCCTTTACTGCACAGGTGCTTAAAAGTATATTTTTTATTTTTTACCGAGAACCAAAGAAATAAAAAAAAAATGATGAAAATATGTCAAACTTTAGACGCAAAAGTATTTCAAGGAGCCTAGAACGAATATTTTCAAATAAAAATGTATGACTTTAATACACACTTAGTTTTATTAACCTATATATTTGTTTTATTTCCTCGCAAAAAGCATTTAAAAATGTTGTAAGAAACTTGAGCGTAAAAGGTTTTTCGTAAAAGGTTTGTAAAACCTTACTTTCCGCACTCGTATCTTAAATAACTATTATTTGATTAAACCAACATAACTCTATGCTATGACAGCGTTGAGTTCACAATAATTGTAAATCACACTCAAAAAAGTTTGAAACAAAAAAAAATATATTTTACAGCTTTAAATAAATGAAACGTCAAATTTTGAAAGTACCTAATAAAATTTAAGGTGTTTTTGCCTTTTAGGTTAAATCCTACCAAAAATATAAATTTTATGTGAACTCACAAATAGGTAGCTCTTGTAAAATCTACAAATAGGTGTTTAAGAACAGCTTCGAGGCGATTTTCTCATTATTTTCGCTGAAAACAATTGGTAATTAGTTCATTTCGACATAAAATTATGACAAAAAAATAAAAAAAGCCAATAAAATAGTATTTTCGTTACTTTATATTAAACTAGGGTTATCAATCACCCGTACTTTATAATAAAATATTGTACGTTAGTTCAGATAATTGTACTCGAGACTCTATAAGAACAATAAAGTACACGAAAATATTTCGCATGATTTGATTTGTTCGTGATTTTGAAGCTTAGTCGTTAAACAAAATTTATCGATTCGAATCGATAAATAAAAAAACATAGGTTTAATAATAAAATAAAATAAAAAAAATACTTTATTTTGATACTATGTACTTTTTTTCTGTACCTGTAATAACTAGTGTACTTTCATTGGAAAAAAAAGTTGGAAACCCTATTTGAAACAGTGATTTCGTCGTATAATATTTATTTATTTATCACAGATGTGGGATTGTCTACCTTATTTTTATGGAGTCCCGGATATTTCGGCGCATGGTGCTTGCAAAGCAAAAGTGACAAAAGTAAAAGTGTGGTAGTAATTATTTTATTTTAATGTAAATGCCCATAAAAGTTATAATAAATTTTCACTATATGTTTTAGTGGGATTGTTATAGGTATATTACCTATGTACTCAAAAAAGCTCGGTGGCGTAGTGGATAAGCGCCGCGGCCCGCGATCGTTGTCGTTAAGCAACTTTCGCAAGGGTCGGTCACGGGATGGGTGATCAAAAAATTATTATCTCGAGCTACTCCGTGCTTCGGAAGGCACGTTAAGCCGTTGGTCCCAGCTGCATTTGCAGTCGTTAATATCCTCCAATCCGCATTGGGCCAGCGTGGAGGGTCATGGCCCATCCTCCTTAACCATCCATAAGGAAGGCCTGAGCCCCTGCAGTGGGGACGTAAAAGGGCCGGTGATGATGGTGATGACTCAAAAAAGAATAATGAATCGTGTAATATCGTTATTATTAAAGTTGACTAATAGAGCATGCCTAATAATAAATAACATTCGAAAGCATTAACGGTGAGTTGCACATACGTCCATTAAGGATTAATGACGTCTTTATGCTCTACTAAAAGTTTAATTTGTATGGGTAATGTCGCTTTAAACTAATAACAATTTTAATGGACGTTTATGCAACTTGCTGTAAGTCCTACTATTGTACCATACTATTAGTTGTATAATAAATTGTCATGACTCATTTGTAAAATGCACAAGCTTCGAATGCACCCATATTTAAAGTACCTAAATAATTTGTTTTAAATTTTCGACAATAAATCTATCAAAAGAGCCTATTGTAAAAACTCGCGACAAAAAACCTCTTCTTCGTTCCGATAGTGCCGAACGCAAGGAATGTAACCATGCGGTCAAATAATAGGCGCCGGCTGCCGTCGAGCGTCTTTAAAAACAAGCGCCGGCTTAAAAAATATAGAAATGTGACGCTAAACACGTAGACTTAAGGTGCTGTTTCGCCTAAATTTTCTTTATCTCTACAGTCTGAGTGTATAGCAAGCTTATGCCACTATATCGATATCGATAATTTATATTAACCATAACAATCTTTTAAACATATATTTAACTTATTTATCTATGAATTTTCAATATTGATAACAGTGTCAAATTTTATAATCAAGTAGAGTTTGACAATTTGTATATCCAGAAGTGCTGTTATCGTCCTTACCATTTTTTGAAATCAGTTTTTAATAAAACAAATGAAATATCGTAAATAATTTTACTGTTATCAACAAATTTAAAAATTTTAATTGTTTTTCTAGTCTTTAAGGTGGATTATAAGGATGATGACTAATTATTTTTTGTTTCTCCGTGAGGTAGTTTATTATAGAATATTAAAAAGTTTTTCTTAATTATCGAAAAATTACGTCGTTACATTGATTTAAATGTCGCATAACATCATACCTTTGTACATTTTCTACATAGTTGTGATTGTGACATAGCGAGCCCCCATTTCTCAATTTTGATGCCTATTATCTAAACCACTTCTTGTTTTATTGAAGCAAAAAGTACATAAATCTAATATTTTTCTTATATCGGGCTAGCGAACTAAACAGAATTACGTTTATATAAACTAAAAAATTTTAAAATATAACTTTATTTTGCTCAAGATAAATGTGATATAAATATAAGACGAATCCCATATCAAGTAGCCAAAACTCTTGTATTTGGTAAATCTGAACAACGCCGGTATCATAACACCCAGACCCAAGACTATAGAAAAGTTCATTTTCTACAGTGCCCTGAATCAAACCCGGGACCTCGAAAATGGCGATACCCTGAAACAGGCGTATATGCCGCTAGGCTGAGGAGGCCGGAAAAGTTTTTATTTTTTTGACGTATTATTGTTTTACTTATATTTCACATTGTATGACTTGACAGATTTTTGTTTATTAAAACATTTTTAATTTGAAATGTACTGAATATCGATATCGATGTTTTCTTTATCGCACGTCTCTGCTAGGTAATGCGTATTGATGCTATCTCACTCTTGCAAGCGCAGCGATTGGCGAGCTAGCGAAGCGGTGGATACGAACAGCGTGGTCTAGTCTAGTCGAATGAAATAAACTCGTAATCGACGAGACGAGTCGAGTTTTTATGTTGTCGGAGTGTGGATGTTGAATTTGTTCGCTCCGTGCCTCCGTGCGCGTGTTCAAGTCACAATACATCATTCTCATTTATTTTACGTATATTCACAAACAAATAAAGTGCCACGAGACAGTGTTCAAGTGTCAACGTTTTAACATATGAAGTACATTATCTGTGATTTAATACTAGACAAGAGGTATTTTTAGAAGATTATTTTTGTGATGACTGATGATGGAAGCCCAAAACGTGGCTTGGTGACTGTCGTTATGAAAGATTTTTGTGTTTAATTACAATTGTTGGCTATTGTCATTAATTGGTACCATGGCCGTTTTCAATTTTGGTGTGTGTTTAGTTTTAGTCTTATATCAACTGTCGGCAGCTTACAGCGAAGATCCTTTAGAAACCACGGATGTTGTTGCTGGTACGTATATTTATTCTAGTTACCTTTTTAATATATTAGCAAATAAAAAAAATCATTTATATATCTAGGGTGGAGGCACCAATTATCGCTATTTCAACTTTTTTTTATCTTTGCTTGTAATTTTTATATTAATAGCTTTGACTTTCTCGTAATACCTTTTTTTATTCGTTACGTTGCGTATTGGATCTTCAAATTAAATGCATTAAAGAGTAATTGCAATAACAATATTTTTTAGCCACATCAAAATATATTTTATCAATTTAGTTTTACAATAAAATATTGAATAATCTTAAAGAAAAATGCTTAAAACATTCACCAGTCCCAGGTACCCCATTGCGAAAGGTTATGAGTTCGTTAGTTCTTTTTTTCGTAAGCTTGTTTTTGGTGCCAAAATGTAATGCAATAAACCATAGACATAAAAGAAGAGGACCGGCCATACCTACGAAAAAAGCGTATATGCCTAAACTTCAAATGCAAATTCTTTGATGGCGGATTGTCATAGGGCGTGACCCAAGATATCGATATTTGTATCGACATTGAAGTCATATTAAATAAAAGTTAGTATTTCGTGAAACTGCTACAATACTACTACTTTATTAAATAATATAATATAATTTTCATTGTTAGGGGCATGGCTAAACTATTACCTATTACACTTCTATTCATTTCACACTTACGTACCAATCCTATTTATGATTATTATTAATTAAATTAAAAATTCACGCCAGTATCAAGAAAATAATATTTTTTTAAAAGTGGCGTGAATTTATCAATTATTTATAAATCATTAAGCAATCTTTTGCTCGTATTTTGTTGGACATCTAAAATTTCTTGCGTTCTTTGTTCTTGCGACTCCGTTGCGACACTATAGTAAATAAAACATATGTTACCAGCGTATGATGGCGCTTCCCACGGGTAAAAGATTATTCGTATTTCAAATTTCATCAAAATCCGTTCAGTAGTTTTTACATGAGAGTAACCAACATCCATCCTCACAAACTTTCACATTTATATTATTTAATAATATGATTGTACCTCGATAAATATGTTTCTTTTTCCTCTAATATAGCCAATTTTACATAGTTTTAAGAACTATAGTACCAAAATATATATCTTAAAAGTTTTACAATAATATCAATCGTGTTTTATAATTATTTCCATATATATTGTCAAGTTGACATTTTGCAATTATAATTAAATAGTTTTTTTAACATAAGTTTAATTTTGTATCCACGGGAAGTGTGACTACTGTCCAAGATAACTACCACGGTAACTATAATAAGCTTTTAATGAGTCGATTGACGAATGAATTATTATGCTTTTTTTTGTCTGTTATATATTTTTTATTGTTTTGGTGGAAGGAAAGTGACATTTGGTCTAATGAAGTCATTTTTTATTTTTCAGTACGAAATTAAACAGGGTGCAAAAGCAGCCCTTGCAGTTTCTTACCGGTTCCTTTCTTACAGTTTCTTCTTTTCTCGGTACAAGGTTTCCCGTAATAGATTGCTGAACTATAAGCACAGAGTTTCGACTTTCTTATATGCTTGTAACTAGTAAGCCAACTTGTCTATAAATTTATTCAATAAATTGTTTTGACTGAATAAATTTCGCTTCCTCCTCATTAAGTGAGATACCGTGCGTACTGTGTCACAATTTTAGTTCAGAACATCTTGTTTAGTAGTAAACATAGAAAACTTGAAACACCTACATAATCTTTGTATTATATTATTGGTAAAAGAACATAAAAATACTGTAAACTTTGATGAATAAACAAGAGAAAATAAAGAAAACAAAGTTGGTGTTGAATAAGTAACAATTGGCATAACAGTAACATTATTAAAGAAGTAACAATTGGCATTTTATTTAAAAATTTGGTTAGCAAGAAGAAAACAGCCGATTAATCAAGTATACAAATATTTTCTCAGCACTAAAACAGTCTGCGATTCATGTTCTGTGAACAATCATGATAACGGTCAGCAATTTAAATTCAAAAAGGTAGCGTATTTTATGATGCATCAGCAAAATAAACATCCACGCCGCAAAATAATTATTTGGGTATTAAGATTATACTTTTGAACAGCAAAGAAAACCTTTAACTATGCCTTTAATTTGATAAGTGTGCATATTTTAATTTTTATTAAAATTATTTAACTCATTTTATTGTATATTTTACTGGGAGTATATTATGACCAGAATTTTATATTTTAATATTATTATATATTGCATTCTGATTTTTTTCAATTAAAAAAGTCGTCATATGACCGCAAGACTAAAAATAAGGTACATTTATAGAATAACAAAAAGACTATATAATAAACTAAATAAATAAATCAGTAAAATCAAATGAAAATTAACTAAGTGTAATAGACATTTTTTTTAAATAAGTTAAAAGCAATTGTCAAAAATTCTTACCAGAGTATTTGATTGGCAATGCATCATCTCGTAATTTTATTATATTTAAAGTTCGATTCAAACAACTTCCCTTAAATTAAGTGAGCAGATAAAAGTAACTTTTTCATTACATTTAATATTTTCTTCTTCTATGTAACTCGGCCATTTTCCTCTTTTGTTTCATCTTTTGGTAATCTAAAATAATTAATATATTTTTAAATATTAAAATTATCGATATAAACCATATGTTAAAGTAACGACACTAGCCATGTAAACAATATTATTTACGGACCGAAATATTATAAAAATATAAACGAAAAGAGCAATATAGCATAAATAGAACACGCCAAAATACGATATGTATCGATTTATACACGCAATCATTTTCAGAATAACTTACTTACGTTTTAAATACTGTTATTCCAAGAAAGTGTTTAACTTACCGGTGAAACGTAATATTGCTCGGTTTGCGGGATATTGATGACGCACAACCAATTATACAGCACCTAGGCATTGTTTTGCATAAATAATTTACAATTTTCTGCCATGAAAGTTATATAAATTAAAGTTATAAATGAAAATAACCACAAAACTTATAACACTGACAGCTGAACTACTTCCGAGAATACGCAAAGCAAATTTGCAAATGGCTGACAGGTGGTACGATAGCTATATCTCATGACGTCACGTAAAAAATTTTGAACTGTCACGCTAGTGTTATCTTTGTTTACTAAAGAAACTTCTTATTAGTTAAAAAAAGACAACATGATGTTTTTGATGTCAACTTCAGATTGCATGATATTTATATAACCATAGAAAATATTTCCACTCTACCTTACTCTATGCAATAAACGTATCAATGTTTTCTTAAAGCTGGCGAGACACCATACCCAGAAATTGTATTAGACATTTTAGAATTTCCACGACGGTAGAGTTAAATTAAAAGTCGAAGGCAATATCAATATTAGTTACCAGAAAAGCATAGGTACTCAATATTAAGGTGGTCGTTGTTACACATGAATTCCCTTTATATCAGCCGTAGCTGATAAAAATAGTTTTTAGGCGGCCGAAATTAGAATTTAACGTTTTAATGCATTTCCCCAATATCGACCACTCGGCCGATAATGAGATTTATCTATAACACAGCAGGTCAATTCTGCTAATGTTTAAGAATCTCAACGACTTGTATTTTGCCAATATTAGTGCAATGTCTTCCTCATATATTAATGATGACAGATAATATAACAATATTGGATATCATAACTTGACTAAAATACATAACTAAAATTTCATAACTTCAAATCCGAATTATAAAATTTACAGTTTGATTTTAACATATTGATCTTTACTTTAGACCATATTAATTTACTTATTCTGTAGAAATTAACGAGATAATAAATTTTAATCGTAAAGCACTGACTTCCAAAGTGTTCCATTTAGACCCCAGAGGGTCAATTGTCTTGAAACTAATTTCGCATGAAAAAACTTATTACAAATGCTTCGAAAAAAATGTTAAATTAATTCGAAACGTACGTACCTTAACAAAATATAAAATACACTAAAATCGAATTACCTACGAAAAAAAAGGTTTGCTTGCCTCGCCTCGCTATTTTACAGAATTCAAGACGAGGTAGGCAGATAAAATTAACAGACAGATAACTGGACAATACATGCCTAATTGCACGAGAAAACAAATGCCTGAGATAGTAGAATTTTAGGACTACCTTTCTATAAATAATAAATCTTTTGTCTTCAACAGCAATACTGCGCAGTTTCTTTTGCAATTGTTTAGATATTTTTAAAATAATGAACATTTTTAAGGTGGATTGATAAGACAGAATATTCTATATTGTACCCACAAAAACTACAATTAATATTATGTAAATAGGAAATGTTCAACTGGCGGCCTTGTTACTCAAGCGATCTCTTCCACGCACTCTCATAATAGAGTTTAAAGGTCTAATAATTAGTTCAAGTCGGTTTCAACAATAATAAACTCCATATTTACAAATAATGTAATAAACAGTTACCTAAACTGTTATCGTAAGTTGTTAGGTACCTAACTGTTTTTGTAAAATGTAACAAAAAATCATATCACAAACCGAAATTATACCTACTGCTGGCATTTATATAAAGTTAACATTATAACACCAAATTAAGATAATTTAAACATCGGACATAAGTAAATTATACGTTTCTAAATTTACGGTCATAGGTTATCGTCGAAACAAGATTATATAGGTGCCAGCTTGTATTTTTCTGATTTAAGATAAAATAGACTCACACCCGGTTTCTGAATTGAGTAAGTATTTAAAGTTAAGCTCATCTTAAACTGTACTTAAACGACAATTCAACGAGTATTATATCGCATCTGTTTCTTTTTTTTATAGAATAGATTAGATTTTAATTACTTTAAGTAAACATCAATGTTATAAACTCAAAATATTGTTTTTTAAACTATGATATAGTCAACAAACTTTATTTTATTTACACAAATGCCATTTAATTACAAACGGTCCGTAAATATGTGAATAAATGATAATTTTCAAACATTTGCTTGCCAATTATTTTTGCTGTAAAGCACTTTCACTTCGTTCTTTCAACCATGA